TATTTTCCTTTTAAAAATGCACTCCTCCCGTCATCAGCCCTGCAGCCAGTCAGTCCATCAGTCAGTCCGGCAGCCAGTCGGTCCATCAGCCAGTCAGTCAGTTGTCAGTCAGTCCGGCAGTCCGGCAGTCAGTCACCCGGCAGTCAGTCAGTCTGTCAGCCAGTCAGTCCGGCAGTCAGTCAGTTGTCAGTCAGTCCATCAGTCTGGCAGTCCGGCAGTCAGTCGGTCCGGCAGTCTGTCCAGAGTGAGTCCTTGATTCCAGCCCTGTCCTGGAAGCAGGAGACCCAGAGACCGAAGAGATTAGAAAGTACCCAGCCCTGAGTCATTGTGCTTGTGATGCAGTGACCTGCAAGTGACGTTTGGTGATGCAGTATCGGTATGGGGGTTAAATGCCTTAACAACGGAGGGGCAACCTAAGAAACAATGCCAGCAGTTTGGGGGAGAATGCCTAGTTCTCCAACAAATGTTTTCAATGGACAACAGGAACTACTGGAAAAGTTTGAAGTTGTGACTTTCCTTACAGCGATGAAAACAGGATTCCATTTTCAAAAATGCCCTTTTCACACTGGTGAGAAATGCCAGCCACAGAGGGGCTCTCAGCTAGGGGGTGGGGCAGAAGTGTCTCAGGTTTACAGAACATCCCAGCCCACTTCGGGCTTCCAAGAGCAATTCAGAATTCCTATGTGGAAAAGGAGAGAGGGGCAGGTTCCCAGAGAGACGAAGGGCAGAGTGGCCGGGGGGACTTCCTCTCCGCTGGGACACGGCCTTCTCGGGCGGTCGGCAGCCTTCTTCAGGTCCCCTGTCTTTGTAAAAAGTGGCGCTCAAAGCTGGGACTTAAACTAAACAGATTTCCTAGAGGAAACACACACACACCATCACACTCTGCTAACGTTGCTTTTATGGACATTTCCCTGAGAAATATTTCTCTCTGGAAAAATAAGTTCACAGGATGTAATTAAAACCATGATGTGTGTATGTTGGCCAGGGCTCTTCTTAAGTGCTTCACCAAATGGGCCACTGAACAAAGCAATGAAGGCTGGCTTTGTTCACGTCGGTTAACAATGCCATTTATGAATTGTAACACAGGGCATTCTCGGACTTTATGGTTTCAGAAACAGCCTTGCGGCTGGCCCATGCCCAAGGCAGCCCCGGTTCTGACCCCAGTGTGACCTCTGCAGGAGACACAGCCGAGGGCTCTGCAGTGGCACTGGACGAGGTGACAGGCTCCACTCCACCGACGCGCCCATTAGGCTGTTTTCTGCTGATAACCCAGGGGAAAATATATTCCAAACGTGAAACAAATTCCTGAAAAAGAAAATGCTAGCAAGGCAGTGCTTTTGAGTAACGGGGCCAAGGGGGTTATGTCTTCTTACCTTCCGTGTGGCTCCCAGCCCCGGCTCTCCTGCTGGTCCTCAGCCTGGAGCGACTGTAATTCCAGTTTCTTTACTGGCTGTATGTGTCGTGAGGCTGTGGAAACAATTCACCGCAAACCTGTCTGAAGCCTGGGTGTCCCCAGGGCTGCGCTCCCCGACCCCACCCCCTGCACGAGGGTCCTTCCTGCCTCTGTCAGCTTCTGGGGACCCCAGGTGTTCCTTGGCTTGTGGCCACATCACTGCACTCTCCAGCCCGTCCCCACACCGCCTTCTCTCTCTCCAGTCTGCCTTTGCCTTTCTCTTGTAAAGGCAGCTGCTGTTGGGTCAGGGCCTGCCCTCAGTCCAGGGCCATCTCATCTTGAGATCCTTACTCGCATCAGCAAAGACCCTTTTCCCAAATAAGGTCCCATTCACCGTTTCCAGAGCTTAGGCTGTGGACTGTTTTGGGGGCTGCCATTTGGCCCCTCAGTGCTGGTCTGTAGGCTCCATGGGATGGTGTCCAGCTTTGTTTGCCCCCGAACCCTAGGACCCTGGTGCCCCGGTGTGGCAGTTTGTCAATTTCAGAGCCTGAAAGACTTTATCTGTTGGTTCAGGCCTGGGCCAGCTCCTGTGAGAGAATCAAAATACCCCTCCTACCAGAGGCCACTTTCGAGGAAACTAAGCGTCTGCCAGGAGAGATAGGCCAGCTCCTCTGGCAGCTGCAGTCAGGCGAGGAGAGAGAATGCTGCCGGGAGGGCCTGGAGCCAAGGCCCTGGCTGGCCGGGTAAGGCTGCCAGGGGGTGTGGGGGGGACATCTGGTGAGGAGAGAGAGGTCACCAGGACAGGGGTGTGGGAGGGAGGGAGCCTCGTGCGCAGACCCCAGGGAAAGCATGCTGGCCCTGGAGGGTCAGGTTCTAGGCTGGAGCCCGGGAGCCGGAGGAGGGGAAGGAGGTTGGGGCTCTTCTCAGGATGGGCCTCAGATGCCCGGGCTCCTCCAGGAGTCTATACATGGGCATTCAGGAGACATGAAGGAGTCTGTGAGCCCGAGTGACAGACACCTACTGGTATGGCAGGAGACGTTAACCTGGCATTAGGAGGGCATGGTGGGGCCAGCTCAGAGACTCCAGCACCATAGTAGGACAGGCAGGGAGAGGAGCCCAGAGCTGGGATAGGGTCTCCACTCACCCTGCTTTGAAAACTGCCAGCCCCGTGTTCTGGAGCCCGCTCAGTGATGGGCAAGCTGGGCTGTTGGTCCCCCTGGGGTCGAGGAGTCTCTAAGAATCTCGGGCCTCTGCTGCCAGTCCCTGCTCTGGGACTGAGATTTCCTCACCTCTGACTCCTCCCCCTGCGGCAGTGACCAGCACATAGTAGGTGCCTTCCACGGGTGCTGCCTGGAGAGACGCAGCCCCCTGCAGAGGATGCACGGTCTCACTGAGCACCGTGGCCTCCCGACACCCGTGGGGTTCTTGGTCACACCACGCGAGGCAGTGGCACCTGTGGGGGGACTGGGCAAGGGCACCCCATTGGCAGGGCTCCCAGGGCTCACACTGTCCTCTGCAGTCCCCGCTGCTGGGCTCCCCGGTCCTCCCCTGGGGCCTCCACTGCCAGGATAAACCATATCCAGGCAGAGGCCGGCTTGGCTGGAAGAGGGAGGCTTTGAGGGCTACGAGAAGACCGACACTGCCTGCGCCCTGCCCAGCCCCGCGGGGCCCAGCTGAGGGCCTGCTGGGACACTGCCTCTGCCCCTGAGCCCTGCTCTGTTCCTAGCTGGGCAGAGAAGGTGGGCTCAACTTGGGACAGGGTGGGGTGGGGTGGGAGGCTGGAGGTGGGACGGGCTTCACTCAGCAGAGCTCTGCCATCGTGAGAGTTAGCCGCCATGGCGCTGATGCCACTGTTTGCTGAGGCTCTCTCTGCCCAGAAGCCTGTGGCACTTCCTATGGGATTTGGGGTCTTTACAAAGCCTGCGAGGTAGGTATTACCAGCCCACTTTACAGGGAGGCAGCTGATGCTTGGAGGCTTTGCCCTATCTAGTGGATCAGCTGGAAGGAGGTGCAGCTGGCTCCCTAGCTTGGGGCAGACAACCTGACTCTCCACGGGTGGGCTCCAAGGCCTGAGACAGGGTCTGTGGGGCAGGGGCTGGTAAAGGTGTTTCCAGGGCAAAGCCTGGAGGCTCGGCCAGCTGCCCTCATCTCACGGCCTCACCTGGTAAACCTTCAGATGCCCTGCTTGAGGAGATCCTTCAAAGGAGAGGGCTGGGCCCCCTGGGAGGAGACGCTCCAAACACAGGCCCACAGGACCAGGAGAGATTCCCATTTCTGGTCCCTGTCTGGGTGACATCTTCTGCCCAATTCCCAGAGACAGCTGTGGGGTTGAGCGGCAGCAGCATTGGCATACCTAGGCCCGGCAGGGTCCTCACCAGCCGGCAGCTGTGGGGCTCAGGTTTCCAGCCCCCCATATGCCTGCTGTGCTTCCAGACAGTTCCCTCCAACAGGAGGGATGAGGGATGGGAGCCCCTCCTCAGACCTCCGGAACCAGAAGGCCCACTGTTGGACATTTTGTTACAAAATGATGCTTACCCAGTACTACTGTAGCCGAATCTGTCACACGTCTCATCACTTCCCGAAAACGAATGCCTGGAAGAGGCATTTCTGATCAAGGACTACTCATTCTGATGCTTTAGTTAGACTGCCACATTTTCCGCCAGAAAGACTGGGCTAGGCTACACGGAGGGGCCACTGGGGCCGCTGTGGGGGAGGCCTGAGCCTCCAGGGGGCAACAGGAGGCGACGGGTGATTTTACGGTAGGAGGAAATGCAGGGGTGGGGAAACGGGAGGAGCTATGGGGTCCTGGAAGGGCATAGACAGCCCCCTGCACGGGTCCTGCCGCCGGCATACCGGCTGGGACGGCACTGGCAAGGCCCTGCAGCTTGTAGGAGATGTGACCAAGTGGATTCAACTCCAGTGGCCACTGAGTGTCTCTGTGCGGGTGGCTCTTTCATGCTCAGAGGACCTGGAAGAAAAGGGGCTCTGGAGAGGTGAGGTCTGAGGGGGAGGCAGGCTGTGGGGCTGCACAGTCTGGGTGTGAGCCCAACTCAGCCACCTGTGGGCTGTGTGGTTTTGGGGACAGCTCCAGGCCCCCTGGTCTCAGGGTCCTGAGAAATGGGGGTGATGGTATTGGCAGAGCATGGCCAGTGATTATGTGTCCTTCCCCCTCCTGCTTTGCTGGTTCTGTGGACGCTGCACTGCACCCTGCGGGCATTTAAGAGGCACACAGATAGGGATGTGAGGCCACCTCTCCACTACGGACCACGCAGCCTCAGGTTTTTCTAAGAGGCAAGATCCCAAGGGGAACACGTGGAAGGGGAGGTAGAGCTGCAGGCGCAGGAGGGAAGCTCTGCTCAGGGCACTCAACACCTTGATGCAAAGGCTGCTGATACGTGGGACGCTCGCTGTAAGCCCACGGGAACCAGACAGGCAGAGCAGCGGAGGCCCTCGGGGACCTGGCTCTCACCTGGCTGCACATTAGAATCACCTGGGTGCTCTGAACGACCCAAGGGCCAACCCACACCCCAGACTGATTGCACCAGAGCCTCTTCTAAAAAATAAAGCAATTGCGGTAAAATACAGAACACAAAACTTAACCTTTTTAAAATGCACAGTTCAGTAGTGTCAATTCACAATTCACATTGTTGTGCAACCAATTTTCAAAACTTTTTCATCTTCCTCAACTGAAACTCCGCCCCCATTAAACACTAACTCCTCATTCCCCACTTCCCAGCCCTTGGCAACCCCCACTCCACTCTACGATTTCACTGCTCCAGATTATGATCTCACGTAAGTGGAATCACACAGTACTGTATTTGTCTTTTTGTGACTGGCTTATCTCACTCAGCATAACGTCTTCAAGGTCATCCCCGTTGTGGCATGTGTCAGGATTTCCTTCCTCTCTAAGGCTGAGCGCTATTCCATTGCATGGATGGACCGCATTTCGTTTATTCGTTCGCGAACACGTGAGTCGGTTTCAGGCTTCGGAGTTGCTGAAGCGCCAAGATTTTGGATGTGCAGCTGTGGTGGTGCAGCGTCATCGGAGTCACCTGTCCCTCATGCCAGCGGTGCCCTCTGCTGTTATCAAGTCCAAACACCACTGCAGGAAGCACCCCTACTCCCGCCTCCACCCCCCACAGGGCCTGCCAGGTCTGCACCCAGGTGGACCCACCCCGTGTATCTGGGCCACTCAGGGCCAGCCTCAGCAGGGGCACTTGCGGGGCTGCGCCTGCGGCTTCCTTGCGGTCCGGTGTGCTGGACACAGGATGGGCCAGCAGGTCACGCGCACGCCTGCAGGGTTTCCGTCCTTCCTGCTCAGTCTCCTGCGGCGCTGGGAACACGTCAGTCCTCCTCCGGCCTGAGGCCGGCTTTCTAACTCGGCGGGGGCGGAATCCGTGCCGAAGGACCAAAACCAGTACCCACGGTGGGACGACGCTGCGATATCCGAACTGGGGAGCGTGCAGGGAACGTTACTCGTTTGCTCGCAAACGCAGCCATTTATTCAACGAGGTCCGCGTCAGCCATTGGCTGTCATCAGCCGCCGAGCTGACTGCGGGCTTCATGGCAGGGATCTGGGGGAGCGTTCATCCAAAACAGCACGCTGCGACGCTCAGCCCTGCAGTGGGCCGCCTCCACTCCCCGCGCCTCCGAATCCACCCTCCCGGGGCTGCTAGTGGCTCGGGGGGCACCGGCCGGGACCCCGCCAGCCTAGCCCAGACCCGGGTCCCGCCCGCCAGGGCCCCGCCCACACCCGGCAGAAGCCACGCCCCGTCCGTGGCGGCGGGGACGACCCGATCACCGGACTCAGGCTGCTGCCCCAGGCAACGCGCTCTCCGACTCCTTGGCTTCTTATGAGGGGAAACCACAGCGCAGCCGGCGCCCCGGGAGTCGGTAACTCGCGAAGTCCACGCCGGACGCCGGAACCCGCCAGCATCCAGCTCCGCAGGGAAGCCGGAAGTGGAGGCGCGGACCCGGAAACCAGTGAGGCCGGCCCTTGCCCGCCGGAAGCCGTGACCCCGACGCGGCCCCCTCGCCCGTGGCGCCGGAAGTGGTCGCGGGCAGCCCTGCTTCCTGCCTGAGGGGCGCGGCGGGCCTGTGGCGGCCGCGGAGGCGGAAGCACTCATGGCGGAGGGCGGCAGCCCAGATGGGCGGGCGGGGCCGGGGACCGCAGGTAACGTGCGCGCGGCTGCCGCGGGGCGTGTGGGGATGGCGAGGGCTGGCTCTGGCGTCTCTGCCGAGGCCCTGCGTCCTCGTCCCGGGCTGGCCGGGCCCACGGGGCAGCTGGGGAGCCGCTTCCCGCAGGCCGGGGTCGGGGGTCAGCGCGGCTGGTCGTGCGGGGCGGCCCCAGCGGGGACGCGCTGCCGGCTCCTCAGCCTGGAGTGCAGGCCCCACGCGAGATTTTCTCTCCGGTTAGCCGATACGGATTTGATATGACCCAACCGCAGACGCAGGCCGCGGGCCGCCCTCCCGTCTCAGTGCACGGATCAGGAAAGCCGCCCGGAGGGCGCGCACCTTTTCCCTCTGCCACCCACCACGTGACCCACCTGGTACAGCGGGCAGCCTTCACACCCCCCACGGGCACAGACCAGCGACAACGGGGACGCCATCTCCAGCGAGCTCGTCAGTGACACAGCATGTCCCCACCCGCAAGGGAGGCAGCTAGAAAGGCGCACACCCACCGTCCAAAATAACCTTATCCTATCCTCCACCTGGAGGGGCCCTGCCACGCACGTGTGAGGGAAGCGGTCAGGACAGGTTCCTCTTTCCCGGTGGTGTGGTAGGAGTCCCTTCTTGCCGGATTTCTGAGTTTGCCGTTCGCGCCCATGGTTTCATGTGCTCTGGGCTTTACATGCTTCCTCTCCTTAGTAATAAACCAAGAAATTTGTTAAAAATCTCAAAAGATTGACTTGGAGACTGCTGCGGATAGGCTTTTCCATCCCTCCCTCCCTCCCCATCACTTAAGAGACTTTGTTGAAGACCTACTGTTGGCTAGACCCAGCGGGGGAAACTGCAGTGACCAGAACAAGCCAGACAAAGCATCCACCACCCTGGGCTTTGGTTGGCATTGACTTTGACTTCAGAGACAGCCAGGGCCTTAGGGTCTAGGATGTCATTCCATGTGAGAGAGAGAGACGGAATGAGAGGTGTTCTGTGGGAAAAAGAGGACTAACAGCTACTTCCCGGTATAGAGAGGGGTCCTGGGGAAGGAACACTGGCTTTGGCGGCTGCACAGGGCTCCTCTTTTTTTTGTTTTTTTTTGGAGACGGAGTTTAGCCCTTGTTGCCCAAGCTGAATTGCAGAGGCGTGATCTTGGCTCACTGCAGCCTCCGCCTCCCGGGTTCCAGCCATGCTCCTGCTTCAGCCTCCCGAGTAGTTGCCCAGCTAAATTTTGTATTTTTAGTAGAGATGGGGTTTCACCATGTTGACGGGGCTGATCTTGAACTCCTGAGCTCAGGTGATCCCCTGGCCTTGGCATCCTAAAGTGATGGGATTACAGGGGGTCTTTTTTTTTTTTTTTTTTGAAGGAGTCTCTCGCTGTCACCAGGCTGGAGTGCAGTGGTGCAGTCTTGGCTCACTGCAACCTCCGCCTCCTGGGTTCAAGCGATTCTCCTGCCTCAGCCTCCCGAGTAGCTGGGACTACTGGCATGCGCCACCGTGCCCACCTCATTTTTGTATTTTTAGTAGAGAAGGGGTTTCACCATGTTGCCCCGGATGGTCTCGGTCTCTTGACCTCGTCATCCGCGCGGCCTCTGTCCCAAAGTGCTGGGATTACAGGCGTGAGCCACTGTGCCCAACCGAAGGCTCCTTTTTATATCCTCATGCACTGCTGTTTTGTTATTCAGTGGGTTTTGGGCCTGGGGTGGAGGGGCAACAGATTTTCAGTTGAAGCTTAAGTGCTATCTTGGGGCAGTTGTGTTGTTATTGAAATAGTTGGTCAGCAAAACACAAACTTGAAGTTGCTTTTGAATCTGGAGCTGGGGAAAGATTCTGAGGCTACTTTTGAGATGGACCAGAATTGGATAGCACAGAGGCCAGCAGAGGGGCCCCAGAAGAGAGCTCAGCAAAAGTCCTGCGGCGGCTTATTTACCTGTTGGTTATTGCCTTACACCTGAATCTTTCCCACTCCTACTTTGAACTTTTTCACTCTGTGGTAACCATAACTGTGGGGTTAATTACAGGGGAGGATAGTTACTGAAGGAAGACTGGGATAGTGGCATAAAGAGCTGTTCATGCCTGCTTCTTGTCTGGTTGTGGAATCAGCGTGAGCAACCCAATGGACTCAAATCCTGGAGGGCAAGGACACTTCCTCATCACCCCATCGTACCTGTGGTTGAGTCTTGTCTATAGTAGTACCCAAAAGAGATTTGATTTTAATATAAAAAAAAAATTTCAGCACCTGGAAGAGCTCCTTATGGAGGGTGTGCTTTATACCTGCATGTCCAGTCTCACTCTAGTACAGCATGGCAAGGCAGGGACTTGAATCCAAGCCGTCTGTGTTTTTGCTTGTTACGTACATGCGAATCTGTGTAACTATTTTTACAAAACGTAAATCTTCAGGAGTTTATTTTGGGTTGTGATATGAGGTGAATAACTCAGTGTTTCCAAATAAGTACCTAATGGTACAAATGCCATTTGTTGAATACTCTTACATTCTCGCTGATTTTGATGCTGGTTTATAATTTCAGGTACACTTTGGAGATAGTGTGTGTTCAGTTCCAGAACACTGTGATCAAGTGAATAGTGCAATAAAGCAAGTCATGTGAATTTTTTGGTTTCCCAGTGCATATATAAGTTATGTTTACATGATGCTATGGTCTATTAAGTGTGCAATAATACCATTATGCCTAAAAATATACACATTTTAGTTAAAAAAATATTGCTGAAAAATGCTCACCATTGTCTCAGCTATCAGTCACAAACTTTGCTGGTGGAGCATCTTGCTTCAGTATTGATGGCTCCTGACTCATCAAGGGGCAGTGGTAATTCTTAAATTAGATGACAATGAAGTTGCCATATTGACTGGCTCTTCCTTTTGTGAGATTTCTTTGTAGCATGAGATGTTGTTTGATGGCATTTTACCCACAAAAGAGCTTCTTTCAAAATTGGAATCAGTCTTCTTCAGCCCTGCTGCTGCTTTATCAATGAAGTGTATGTCACCTTCTAAATCCTTTGTTGTCATTTTGACAGTGTTCACAGCATCTTCACCAGGAGTAGATTTCATTTTAAGAAACCGCTTTCTTTGGTCATCCATAAGAAACAACTCCTCATCCATTCAAGTTTTATCATGACATTGCAGTAATTTAGTCACATCTGCAGGCTGTAATTCTAGTTTGCTTGTGATTTCTACCACATGTGCAGGTACTTCTTCCACTGAAGTCCTGATCCCCTCAAAGTCATCCATGCGGGTTGGAATCAACTTCTTTCAAACCCCTGTTAAAGTTGATATTTTGACCTCCTCCCACAAATCACAAATGTTCTAAATGACATCTAGATTGGTGAATCCTTTCCTGAAGGTTTTTAATTCATTTTTGCTCAGATCCATCAGAGGAACCACTATCTATGGCAGCAGTAGCCCTACAAATTGTATTAAATGATGTTAATACGTGAAAACCAGAATGACTCCCTGATCCACAGGCTGTGGAATGGCTATGTTTGCAGGCATGAAAACAGCATGAATCTTGTACGTCTCCATGAGAGCTCATGAATGACTTGGTGCTTTGTCAGTGAGCAATACTATTGTAAAAGGAATCTTCTGAGCAGTAGGTCTCAACAGTGGGCTGAAAATATTCACTAAATCATGCTGTGAACAGTTGTGCTGCCACCTGGACTTGGTTGTTTAATTTTTAGTGCATAGGCAGAAGGAGTTTTGGAATGGTGAGTGAGCATTGACTTCATCTTAAAGTCACCGGCTGCGTTAGCCCCTAACAAGAGAGTGGCTTGTCCTTTACAGCCTTGACACTAGGCATTGACTTCTCTCTAGCTGTGAAAGTCCTAGATGGCATCTTTTTTCCAATAGAAGGCTGTTTCTTCTACATTGAAAATCTGTTGTTTAGTGTAGCTGTCTTCACCAATTATCTTTTAGCCATGTCTTCTGAATAACTTGCCGCAATGTCCACATCAGCACTTGCTGCTTCACTTTGTACTTTTGTGTGATGGAGATGGTTTCTTTAAACCTTGTGAACCAATCTCTGCTGGCTTTAGACTTTGCTTCTGCACCTTCCTCAGCTCTCTCAGGCTTCATAGAATTGGAGAGAGTTAGGGCCTGGCACAAGAGGCCTAGCTTTCAACCGTTCTCAGCTTTTCACATGCTTTTCTTATTAAGCTTAATCATTTCTAACTTTTAAAGTGAGAGATGTATGACTGTTTCTTTAACTTGAACACTCAGAAGCCAGCGTAGGGTTATTAGCCTAATTTCAGTACTGTGTCTGGGGAACAGGGAGGGCTGAGGGGAGAGAGAGAGAGAGACAGCGAGTGACAGGGAGCGACAGGGAGCGGCTGGTTGGTGGAGCAGTCATGACCAGCACAGACCCCGTGGATGGATTAAGCACGCTATCTCATATGGGCACAGTTTGTGGCCCCCCAAAACAATTACAGTAGTAACATCACAAATCACTCATCACCATAACAGATAAAATAATAATGAAAAAGTTTGAAATATTCCAAGAATTACCAGATTGTGACCCAGAAGACACAAAATGAACACATCCTGTTGTATGAATACAGGGTTGCCACAGACCGTCAGTTTGTAAAAAACACAGCTCTCTCTGGAGC